GTCTCCGGGCCTTTGCTCAGGCTCTGCCTGTGTGCAGGCGTCCTCCTCAGCGTCCCTCTGTACTCAAGAGATGTCACCCTCAGCTGACTCTTCCTCTTGCTGCAGCGTTACTAGGACTGCATCGTAGTGCACCACCTGCGTGGCTTCACAGTGGGGAAGGACAGATGCGGGGAGGGGACGACGTGGGGCTCACAGCCGCACCCCGCGGAGGAAAGACTTGCCAGGCCTCAAGGATTCTGGCTGTCACTGGAGCTAGCCTAGGCTGCTGGCCCCTGGGGTTGGGCTATGGTTCATGCCTTCTGTCTGTCCTCCATTCCTTTCTGTTATGTGTACTGAGCCTGACTGACAAAATCCTATGTGCTTCCGGACCAAACAGCATTGTGTCTGGAGACACGGATATGTTCTAAATGAGTAGCACCATCAATCTACTACACCTTTCCATCACCCCTCATCCTCAGAGCCATCCTGACTTTCTTTTCCAGTGAGGCATTTCATAAAAGCCCAATCCAGGAAATTCTCCTACAGAAAACTGCTCTGCAGCTCCTCGCTGCCTTAGGTCTCACAGCAGCTCTTGGCCTCCCCTGGAAGCTGGGGCTGTTGGGCCCCTTCAGAAGCAGGAGCACCAGCTTGGCCAGAGGCGGCCGTGCCTCACCTGAGTGGGCTGCGAGTGTTGGGGAGAACACACCGGATCAGGCTCTGCTGAACCTTTTGGGTGGAGCCCCTGGAACCTGTGGTAATTGCAGCTGGGCTGGTTAGAGCCTTCACCCCCTGGAGCCCTGTGTGGAGAGTGAGCCCTCCTCCCATCAGGGGGCCAAGGGTTTTGCCCACCCGCCACAAACACCAGACATGCAGGGCCCAGTCTCCCCCACATTTAATGAGGAAACATCAGCTCGCTGAAAAAGAAGATCTCATTCCACCCAACAGGAGAGATCTAGGGTTTGGGCCATCCAGAAGTGGCCACAGTCCTCTGAGGAGCAGAAGACAGGAAGCAGGAGGCAGGAAGGCACTGCTCCCTCACACATTTGGGGAGAGTGCTCCCCAGGGCAGCAGAGGCTGGGCTTCTGGGGCATGGGTGGGCAGACAGTGGAAGTGGCACAGTGGACAGAGGCGTCCCCCCGGCCCTGGGCAGGGCCCTGCCTAGTCCTGGTTCTAAGCCCTTGAGTGCTCAGAGAGAACAGTGTCACCTGGAGAGAGACCCTTGGGGGCACACTGTGTCCTGGATAGGCACACCCTGTTTCAGGGCGGGGTGCTGGAGCTGGTGCTGGTGCAGGTGATGCTGCTGCTCCTGGGGTAGAGGCCTTGGCCCTACCACCACACAGGGTCCCTTTGCAAGCTCTCAAGCCTGGGAGGAAGGAAGGACACAGGTGGGCTGAGGGCACCATGCCAGGGTGACTGCCCCCTGTGGCCTCCTCCTTGACACCGTGTGGGAGCTGCGTCCTAGGTACACAG